ATTGGTCTTTGTATTTTGCAAAGTTTATTGTGCTAATTTTGAGTAAAAGTTGCTATAAAAAGTGCCTACGAGCATCTTAGTGTGATAATAACCGAAGCTAAGTGAAAGTTTTGTGATTTTTGTGGTTTATATTAAATTTAATTAAATTTCACTAGCATACATCTAATCTTACCGAGTCATTTGTTGTTATCATTGTTGTTGTTATTCCTTTGTAGTTAACTGAGATCTGCACATTTCTTTTTGCTCTTTTTGTTTACTTCGTTTAGTATTTCTTGTCACAGCTGTTTGCGCTGCGTTTATTAAGTGTCACAATACAGTGATACTCAAACTGTTCGCTACATATATTTTTAAGCTAAATACATCAGCTCCTAAATTGTTGTGTGTGTTGTGTTAAACTTATTTTGCTTGTCTTTTTATTAACATAAGTGTTATTAAATCTTTCAATATGAAGTGTGATCTTGATAACTGCCAAATCAAAAGCGAATCTGAACGCTACTTATCGTGCTGGCTCTGTGATGGTATTTGCCATCTAAAATGTGCTGGTTTGACAGGAAGAATTCTGGACGCTATTAATGATGGCAAAGGTCTTCGCTGGTCTTGCTTAAAGTGCAGGTCAACCGAAGTTGATCTCTTTAAGTTGTTTAGGCAAACCAGAAATGGGTTTTCTGAGGTAGGGAGAGAGTTGTCGGTACTGACCGAAAAATTTAAACATTATGAAAATGTATTTAAATCTTTTAAATGCTTAGATACCGTACAATCTATGAAGGACATTCATGTGTCAAAACGTAAGCGTCTTCATAGTCCGCCTAATGAAAGGACCGTTCCACGTCAGAACAATCTTCCGAATGACTTAATTAATCTTTCTTCTCCATGTCCACAGACAACGGAGTTATCTTCCTCAAAAGAACATATATCAAAGTCTGCTTCTAATAATAACGACCCTGCAGTATCTTCCCCGTCCCCCGTTGAAGTTGTGGCACCGCCATCTAATCTTCCAACGCTTACTCTACCCTCAATTAGTAACTCAGTTACTCAACCCCGTCCGCCGGTAATCGAGTCTGATACTAGGAGACTGGTTGTGGTTCCCCCAAAGAAGTCTATATTTGTATCTAGATTTTCGAGGGATACTTCCGAGGACGATATAAAGTTTTACATCTCGTCCAAAGTTAAAACTGTCAACTTAAGTATCAGAAAATTTAATTTTAAATATGAAAGAAATATTTCTTCATTTAAAATAGACGTAAATTTAGAAAATTTTGACATGCTGCTTAGTAGTTCTTTTTGGCCCTCCGGAGCTTTCGTTCGTGAATTTGAGTATAGGCCCAACAAAAATAATAATTTAGCAAATATTCCCCGTCAGAATACAGAACCAAAAAACTGATTACTAAATCTGCTTTAAGTATTTATTATCAAAACGTAAGAGGCATAAATACTAAATTAACGAATTTATATCTTAATGGCCTTGAATGCAATTATAATATAATTTCTTTGACTGAAACTTGGCTCAAACCTCACACTTTTAATTCAGAGATTCTTTCAAATAATTATCATATCTACAGAAAAGATCGGGAGGACAGAGTCGGCGGTGGCGTACTCTTTGCCGTAGACTCTTCAATACCATCTGAAGAAGTTAGTCTTCCACACATTGAATCTGCAGAATTCAAATGCATTCGTGTTCAGGTTGGAAGGGGGTTTACTTACTTAGCTCTATGCTATATTCCTCCCCGATCTGACTTATCAGTGTATTCACAACATGTATCTTTACTGAAATCAATTAATTCAATGATTAAACCCTCTGATTCATTGATTGTGTTGGGTGACTTTAATTTACCAAATGTATCATGGAACATCATTGACAATGATATTGTACCTTTCTCGTCTAGCGCGTGCAACAACGTATTTTTAGAGGAGATGGCTGAACTCTGCCTGAATCAAGTTAATGTACTTCGCAATAAGTTTGGCAAAGTATTAGATCTTGTTTATGTTGATGATGCATCTAAGTCGGCTGTAAATAAATGTGACCCACTAGTTTTGCCCGAAGATGTCTACCACCCTGCTATTGAGATATCTTACGAAATTATAAACGATGGTCAAAATTGCGATGTCCAAACATACGAACCAAATATTCGCTTTGATTTTTCGAAAGCCAACTTTAAAAAACTGAATAAAGAATTGTCTAAATTGTCGTGGCCTATATACAAAGAAAAAGTTGAGCAAAGCGTTGCACATTTTAATTTTACTGTACATAGATTATTTGAAAAGTATGTGCCTAAACGCATGTGTGTTCCTGAAGAACAAACACAGTTATGGTTCACTAAAGAACTGAGAAACTTGAAAAACAGAAAGTCACGTTATTTTAGATTACACAAAAAAACCGGCTTACACTCATACTATGTAAAATACTCACTTTTGCGTCACAAGTTCTTTGAATTAAACAAAAAGTGTTATAAAGATTACTTGTGTAAAATCAAACGACGTATAATATATAACCCCAAATCATTTTATGATTTCGTAAACTCCAAGCGAAATGTACGTGGGTTTCCTTCCGCCATGAAGTATCAAAATACCGTCTCTGGTGATAATCAAACAATTTCTAACATGTTCGCTCAGTTTTTTAAATCCAATTATTCCACTAACTCCCAAGCATACTTTGACTATCCTTTTAAACTAAGTCCAATTAACTCAATACATAACCCTATAATATCTCCCGATGATGTTTTAGTTTACCTGAAGTCCTTAAAGCAGTCTTTTAGTTATGGTCCTGACCAGATCCCCACTTGTTTTCTTAGAAATTGTGCTGATTATCTCTATGAGCCGTTAACAGCCTTATTTAATTTGTCTCTTAAAGAGGGCGTTTTTCCAACTGTATGGAAGGAATCGTTCATAACCCCCTTACATAAAAGCGGTAGCAGGTCTTCAGTGGAGAACTACCGGGGCATAGCTAAGCTCTCTGCAATTCCTAAATTATTTGAAGCAATTATAACAAATCGGTTGACGCATTCTATCACTTCAAGCATTTCATACAGTCAACATGGATTTTGCAAGGGCAAATCAACTTCTACAAATTTACTTGAATTAACATCCTATATCTCAAAAGCATTTAGTGAGAGCAAAACTGTTGATGTTATATATACTGATTTCAGTAAAGCATTTGACAAAGTGTGCCACTCGTTGCTCATCTATAAACTTGATCTTCTTGGTCTTCCACCTAATTTTCTACGTTGGATCTCTTCATACCTCTATGATAGATCACAAAGGGTATTGTTTAAAAATACTATCTCTGACGTCATTGATGTTACTTCAGGAGTCCCTCAGGGTAGCCACCTAGGCCCGATTCTGTTCTTGCTTTTTATAAACGATATTTCTACAGATATAAAATTCTCCAAAATTTTAATGTATGCAGATGATGTAAAACTTTATAAATCGTACGTTTCAATTGAAGAAAGGTCTTTGCTACAATCAGACTTAAACAGCATGGCTTACTGGTGTAAAGTAAATCTTATGCCTCTAAATCTTAAGAAATGTAAAGTAATGTGCTTCTCGCGAAGAGCTGTTCTGCCAGTTTCTTATATAATAGGTAACCATAACCTGGAACAGGTATACAATTTTGTGGACCTTGGTATCACAATGGATCCTAAGCTTAATTTTAATCTTCACATTAATGTGACAGTCAACAAGGCTAAAGGTGTACTTGCATTTGTGAAACGATGGTCAAAAGAATTTAGTGACCCTTATATCACTAAAACCCTGTTTACAACATTAGTTAGGCCGATTCTGGAATACGGCTCGGTGGTTTGGAATCCAAGGTATCAAATTTACTCAGACAAGATAGAATCAATTCAAAAACAATTCCTACTTTTTGCTTTAAGAAATTTCCGATGGGATTCTCAATATAGTCTTCCACCTTATACGAGTCGCTTAAAACTTATTAACCTTCCTACACTTGCCAGTCGCAGGGAAATGCTTGGTATAATTTTTATGGTTAAATTACTGACAGGCTCAATTTCAAGTCCGTCTCTTCTGGCTGATGTAAGCTTTAATGTTCCCTCACGCGTATCAAGACACTTTTGTCCCATATTTCTGAAAGCTTGTAAAACCAATTTTGAATTGCACGACCCACTCCGTTGCTTATGCCAGGATTTTAACTCTCATTCCAGCACGTTTGATATATCAGATCCGCTTTTCAGCATTAAGAAAGCGATACTCTCCTCTCTCAATAAGTGAATTATTGACATAAATACATAAAATCAGCTGATGAATTTAGTTCTGTAGCTGAACAGTTTTAGATCTCGACACTTAACAAACTCCTGCCTATCGTGACTCGGTGCAAAAATTTAAAATATTGGTTCCGTACGTCATACGGACTGCGCCCCTCGTGCGGATGGGCGGGAATGGAGGGTAAAAACCGTTGGGATATTATTATTTTTATTATAAATACCATGCCTCCGGATAATATGAGGTCAATAACATTTCCAGGAAGTACTTGCAGCAAGAGCGTAAAAGTCAAATAGATAGGAAATTTGGGAGGAAGAGAAAATTATCAGTAAAACTTATTGAACGCAAAACTTTTTGATGGATAAGTTTCGGCGCACAATTCAGTTGGGAATTTTTCCCATCGTCACAAAAATCAAAAAGTAATCTACATTAGATTTAATTATTCATTCATGTTTTCATTTCACTAATTTTGTTTTCAGCATATATTCATCAAATCTTCCTTGCACCTTGTTTTCATTTCAATTTGAAACATTACTTATTTTTGGCACCTGCAAATTCCTGCGAGTAAAATTTTGCAAGTAACAACTTGTTTGATATTGAATGGACCCATTCTTACTGCCGGCTTCACCAGCAATTTAAATGAAAAAATTATCAAATAAAAAAGTCATTTTTCACTTAAACGGCTTCCGTTAAACTGACTGTTAGACCATTATATCAAATTTTAATAAATTATTTTCCAAAACAGTGAAACGGTGTTTGATTAATGTTGTTTGGTTTATTTTCAGGTTGTTGTTTTGTGACATTTTATACACGTCGCGCTGCCTTAAAAGCCCAAGATGCTCTGCATAATGTAAAAACGTTAAACGGGGTAAGCTAGTAAAAATTTAAATCACTATTCTTGTTTATCACCTGTGTCATTGTAACTCTGCATAACTAAAAAGTAAAGACAAGCCCGATGAAAGGGGAAGGCGGGATCGGGGACTTTCTCCCCCGGACCCGGAGTTCTCAAAGGGCCCCATGCTTAGACTCCGCAGAATATTTCATAAGATATTTTGCATAAAAATTATAGATTTTCATGATGAAAGGATGTAATATACTACTAAAAAATTGTATACACTTAAAGCAAGTGCAATATTGTTTAATTTCGAGCAATTGATTAGTTCAGTTGAACTCTTGGAAATCAACTTATTTTCTTTAGGATTTCTTTTCTAGAAGTGAATTAAAAAAAAATTATAGTAGAAGATCCGAATAGGGCAGGACCTTCACCAGTCTATTTAATGGATGAAATCTATTTTGTATGAAATTTAACGAGTTGGTAAATATTTCGCAAGTGGGTTGGCTGAAACAATCCTGGCCAAGATATTTTTAATTAAATATTCAAAATTATTTATTTTTAGATTTTGCTCTCATTTGTTTAATGAACAAATCACAAATGGCCTAAATCGCTGAAAACTAAACCAAGGGGAACAATTTTTGATGTGTATTAGACTGCATCACTCCCCATACAAAAAAAATCGATACTGTTTTTCCATTGGAATTATAAAATCTATTATATCTTAAGACGTCCACCAAAATATTTCGGAAAAATATTAAGATTAAACCGATTTGAAAATACCTCCAAAAATTGATTTTTTTATGAATAAAAATAGTTTCTTAAAGATGTTTTTTGGAAATGTCCCCTCAAATAACAAAACGTTTAAGCTTAAAAAATTTACATAAAAATATTTAAAAAAAATTGAACGGAATCGGAATAATGAGATTTTTGATGCTGTTTTTTAACTTTTTTCAAAGATTGATATAAGAATAACTTGAATAACTGAACCTAAACTCCTCCGATTTAGACTTGTGTGGTATCATTGGAAAGGTATTTTATCACCTTTTTTATTTCTTTGTAATAAGTTTATTCCAAGGATGAAAGAGAAAGCTAGGATGAACGAATATCATTCAAAGTTGAATTAAGATGTGTTGGTATTCGAAAAAAAACTGGGACACGAATGACTTTTTTTTGGACATAAGTAAAAATAGTAGGAAAATACCTTTCTACCGAGATCCCATAAGTCTAAATCAGAACAGTTTTGGCCCAGTTATTTAAGTTTTTCGTAAATCAATCTTTGAAAAAAGTAAAAAAACAGCATCAAAAATCTTATTATTACGATTCCTTTGAAAACATTTTTAAATATTTTTATGCAGCTTTTTTAAGCCTAATCTGTTTTGTCATCTGAGGGGACTTTTTTCAAAAAGTTCTTAAAGAAACTATTTTTATTCATAAAAATCTCCATTTTTGGAGGTATTTTTAAATCGGTCCAGCTCGCTTAAATCTTAATATTTTTCCGAAATATTTTGGTGGACGTCTTAGAATATAATAAGTTTTGTAATTCCGGCGGAAAACCCGCAACTTCTTTTGGTGATGCAGTCTAATGTACATACATATATCAGCAAAAATTTGTTAAGTGGGTCACCATTTTTTCGACGGTCGAGCTTTTTTTGTGCAATTATCTTCTTATGCTCCACAACGATAAAAGAAAAATACAAGTTTCACAATTTTTCGAAATTCGAATTATTTTGGAAGTTATAGCTATTAACATTTTTCGAAATTGTAAAGATTTTAATTGTTTTCTCGCGATTGGTAAAACCAATTCTGCTCATATTTTAAACAGTTGATAATGATGGTGTTTTCTTCCCGTTTTTATTTGGCCATACTTTTTTTTATAAAAGTTATTACATTTTTTTTAAATATTACTGACTTCTCAATGGCTTTAAAATCGCATTTTGGGCTAATATTGTTGTACGTTCTATTAGTAATTATTTGCAGAAAAAAAAAATTCGCCGCAATGCATCGAGACGAAAGTTATTCACGCTTTTGTCGCCCAATCGTTTTGCTGCTATCCAATGTTTAATTCCGAAAGATTTGTTAAATTGACTAAGTACGCTTACGGTGTGTGCAATAAAAGGACGAGTAGATACTGCTAAATACAGTAGACATCTGATTAGATTTTGATAGGGAAATTTTTCAATTTCTTTTTTCTCGTCCTCATTTTTCGGGCACATATCTTTGGAGATCTTTTCGTCTGCATTCATAGGAGTAGGAACTGGTTTACAGTCATTCATATTAGACCGATTTAATATATCTTTAATTACTTTTCTCGAGTCATTAAGATTTCATTCTTAGAAAAATCACATTTGAGTTAGATTCCTAAACAAAAATTTAAAACGCCCAAGATGAAGTTCTTTTAACTTCTCATCTAACTTTCGATACCATTGTCTTCCAGACTGTTTTAGTCCATATAGTGCCTCTTTAGTGCTACAAATTTTATTTTCTGAGTACATCCTCCACTTTCTTTCATTTAAAATTTCAGGTAGCTCTTCCGGAATTTCCGTTAGAATCTCTTCATCAATGTCACCATTTAGATATGCTGATAGCAAATCTAACTGATATACATGATACAACTGTTAGTGCCATCAACAACCGAATGGAACCCATCCTAGCTAGAGGAGAAAACGTTTCGTTATGATCAATACCTGGTATTTGTGTAAACCCATTAGCAGCCAGACGTGTTTTACGACGTTCAACCGTTCCATCAGCGTTAAATTTAGTGCGCAGAACCCATTTTGATTTTATAGTTTTCTTCCCTTTTGGTCGATCAATAATATTTCAAGTTCCATTCTTTTGGAGCGCATCGTATTCTTTTCGCATAGCTTGTTTCCATTCATAGGCATCATTACCAGCAATCGCTTCTTTAACCGTCAAAGGATCACAACTTTCTGCTATTCCGGCAATATTGAATTCTGCATAACTCGGTTCTTCTGTTTTGGATATCACATTAAACAATTTTCTTGGCCTTCCTCTTTTTCCAGTTAACACTTTCTTGGTCTTCCAGGTCCTATTTTTAAACTTTCCGGGGTTTCTTCTTCGGACTCGCTACTTTCACTGCGTTCAGAATTTTCGTGTACGTTGCCTTCACATTCTTCTCGTGGCTTGCTACTCCCATCAAGTAGAGCATCGTGTACGCCACCTTCACTGATTACTTCATTTCTTTCATACCTCTTCTTGTTCTCAAAAGTTATTTCTATAGACATATCCTTCCAATACTCATCATCAATAAATCTGTATAATTTTCTTCTTCAACGAAATTATTATCGAATATAACATCACGGCTTCGAAAAATTTTCTTTAATTCTGGACACCACAGCCTGTAAGCTTTAGACTGTGTGGAATAACCGATGAACACACATCTCCGTGATTTCGGCTCAAATTTACCTTTGTTTTCCGTCTTATCAACATATAAGCAGTAATACCAAACTTTTGGAAGTAACTCACTACCGGAGAACGACCCGTCCACAATTTCAACGGTACTTCACCATTCAAACTTCGATACGGACATCTTTTTCTGATATGATTCGCCGTTAAAATTGCTTCTGCCCAGAAATCTCATGATAATCTCGACTGTATCAACATACATCTTGCCAATTCCACAAGAGTTCGGTTCTTCCTTTCAGCAACACCATTTTGTTGTGGCGTGTATTCCACTCAAAATTCATGTCTGAACCCTCTTTCTTCAGAAAATTTTCTAACGTTTTACATATGTATTTGGTTCCGTTGTCTGAGCGTAATAACTTAATTTTTTTTCCTTTATGTTTTTCTACTAAATTTTTGTATTCCCAAAATTTTTCGGCCAATTCATTTTTATGTTTCAAAAAATATACCTCACACCATTTTGTTTTGTCATAAATGAAAGTGAGAAAGTAACGTGAACCGCCAATGGAATTTATTCGCATAGGTCCACACACATCAGAATGGACAAGTTCCAAAATGCCTTTACTTTTGGAAATTGATTCTCGAAATGGAGTTTGGGCTTGTTTTCCTCTTATTCATGTTTCGCATTTTTTAACTTCACCATTAACTTTCTTTTGCTTAATAATGTCTTTTAAGTTCTTGAAGTTCAGGTGTCCGAAACGTTCGTGCCAATCTTGCAATGTATTCGCGACTGATTCAGCTATTCTGCTTTCCTCATCCGCTTCGCTAACGAAATATAAATCCCTCTCTTTGCGTGGACGTTTGACAACTGCTCCATGTTTCGTAAAGTTGACTTCAAACCCGTGGTCGGTGATTTTCGCCACAGATAAAAGATTCGATCGAAGATCTGGAACATGTAGAGCTCCATCTAGTTTCAGCCTCGTGCCTTCTTACGTTTGTATTTTTGCTGTCCCACTTCCTGCGATTTTCGTCGAGTTATTATTAGCCAAATTCAAAATTCTTGCTCTCGGTGATTCCATTTCCTTAAATTTAGAAATCTGTGACAACATATGTGACGATGCACCAGAATCTAAACACCAGATGTTTTCTTCCGTTCCAGCTTGCATAGCAAATTCCACTGTTCTACTTGATTCAACTTGCTTTTGTACTTGCTGCTTATTTATATTTCCCTTGTGTTGTGATCTGCACCTTGCCTTATGCCCAATTTTTCCGCATGCATGGCATGCATACTTAAAACGTTCTTGCTTCGTGTTTCCAGCTTTTGCTGATTTTTGTTTACACTTGTTTACAAACAATGCTAGCTTCGTATTCTTCTAATAACGTGATCTTAAGTACCTCTATTTCTGGAAGCTTTTCCTCGGTTTCTATTGCAATGCGAAACGTTTCATACTCGTCTGATATACTATACAGGAGCAGAACTGTAAAAAGATCTTCAACAATTTGCACGTCCATTTCTTGAAGACAGTCAACAATTTCAAATAAGGAATGCAAATGATCTCTTACGTCATCCCCATTGTTCATCTTCGACTGGATCAAGGACTTCGAAAGTATTGCTTTTTCAGCTGGTCCTTTGGATTGATATACATCATGCAGCTTGACCCATATGTCTCTTG